TACATACATACATACCTACGTACATACATACCTACGTACATACATACATACATACATACATACATACATACGTACATACATACGTACATACATACGTACATACATACATACATACATACATAAATATATAAATACATGCGTACATACATACACACACACACATACATACATACATACATACATACATACATACATACGTACATACATACATACATACATACATACATATATAAATACATGCGTACATACATACATACATACATACATACATACATACATACATACCTGTCTATCTGCTAGTGCACAGCCCGAAGCTCCTCCAGGATCTGCCTAGCAGTGAGGCTCTGCCCGGCACGGGCGCAGGCGTTGATGGCCGCGCCGCAGGCGACGACGTAGGGCTGCAAAGCTTCCTCTCCAGACATAGGCCAAAAACAAACATCGCGTAGCCCCACGCACGTAACCTATTCATTCCCGTGTCTCTTGTGTGTGTGTGTGCATGAATATTGTCTATATATATATACACACATACATGCATATATACATACACATGTAACATATGCGGCAGTATGCTTCAGGTACAGCTGGTTCTTTAGACCTTGGCAGGGATCAGCCATGTTCCCTTCTGCAGTCTCGTTCCGAGCTCACTGTGTACAGGATGTGTGGCAAGGCCCCATGTTGTCTTAACTCTAGGACCATGGCGTACTTGTACACAGCATGGACCGTGCAGATTGTGAATCCTTCCTTATAATTACTGTAGCCTGAGTTGCAGCACAAAGCCCGCATGATCAATGCCGGCTTGGCTTCTTTGCGAGATTTGGGCTGAGGGAATCAACGATGTTCTTAATGTGTTGCTTTCGCTATACTACTGTCACCCACTCAAAAGCCTCACATTCCAGACTCCAAGTGATACAACGCCTACAGGCCGGCCGACTGAAGCATTGAGTCTCCATGTCCCACATCTGGGCTGCCGAGAACGACAGGTCCGAGACGTCAGCACCCGTGCCTCCGCCATCGCCTTCAACAGCTCTATTGCCACTTCCCAGGCGTCGCTGCAAGCGTTGATGGCTGAGCTGTAGCTGACTTCCTGCGGACGGGCCCTCCTAGCTATCCAGCATGGGACGCATGCATAACGCGATAGTTCGCCACCTGAACCCGAAAAGCCCTGACACATCATTCGTGAGCACGGACGTAGGGCGTTAGTCCATTGCATGCGGTGGTATTCCGGCACTACTACTTCTGTGAATAAGCGTTCTTGCTTATAGCCATGCTGCAAGCGGCACAAAGTCTTATCTTTATACCAACAATAGCGTTACTAGACCAAGACCGTCCCAAACAACTGAATTGCGGAGCTGTCCGTCGCCACCACGCGGTTCGCTCTCATACTCTCCTTGCCAAGGGTTGTCGTCCAATGGATGCAGTACATGTTCTGTTCTGTGTGCGGCATTCTGACGATATCGGCAGGATCGCGAAATCTTGTAATACACAGCACAGAGAGCTGCAAACCATGCTGCCACATCTGCTGCCGGTGATGGTCCAAAAAAACCCACATAAGTCAACAAAAGCACGCAAGAGGCTATCAAGCCTAAAGCACAGTGTCCAGCAGTGAGATTGCGGTTGGCCAAGCTTTGCGGCAAGCGCTGATCGCCGAGTTGAAGGAGATGACATCCGGATCCACTCTCCTGGCATGCCCAAGCCGGGACTTAAGGCTATGCGAGGCTTCTCTGCATTCGTATATAGTATATGGTATGTGGGCTGATAGGGTTGTAGGGTTGATCAAGTTGGGTTGTGAAACCTCCTGAAATACGTAGTCCGGCGATCCCAAAGACAACACAGCGAGCTGAGCAAGGCTGATTATCGCATCGCTGCCCAGATGCCGGCACAAGAAACTTAACAAACCACCTGTACGACTTCTGGGAAACCCAGAAACTTTCAATCAAACCCGTCTGAAACCCTGAAAGAAGAGCCCTAAACACCCGAAAAAGACACCCTACTAGCCCCACGGTTCCCTCAAAACCCCAAAAGAAACATCCGCCGAGGCTCCACCCAGCCACCTCCGCGAGCACCTGCAAGGCCAGGCGCCAGTTCCCCCTGGCAGCCTCGAACTTGGAGGGTTTAGGGTCTTTAGGGCTTATAGGCCTTATTATTGGGTTTAGGGGTTTAGGGTTTAGGGTGTTTAGGGCTTAGGGCTCAGGGTTTAGGCTTCAAGGCTTAGGGTTTGAGGACTTTGTTTGTGCCTCCCGCCTGGCTAGGACGAGCCTACGATGCAGGTTATAACCGCATGACGCACTACTGCAGACTCACTCCGTGCTGGAGGAGAGGAAAGCAGCGTTTCATGGCTTCAGGTTTACACAGTTCTGCTCTTGCCCAAGGACGGCTCGTCAAATCTCGGATGTACATGGGCTTCAAAAACTGAAGGGCTGTTTAAGGCTTCAGGCTTCGCGATAGCAAGCTCTCCTCTTGGTTTCACCTATCGGCAAGGTCTCTGTTAGAGCATTTTTGCTAAGCCGGTTCCCCGCTCGGAGTCCAAACCGAGGCAAAAGCCTTGATGGCAACGTTGACATGCACGACGTTCAATGGCACCTTAGCATCCGAAAGTACCACCAGCAGGCCATTGTGCAGACCAAAGGGCTGGCAGCGGCTGGCAAACGGAAGCTACTCAAGCTGCCCATTGAGTTTTGCAACACCGCTGGCAACCCCTGCTTTGCCAGCGTGGGCTGGGGCTATAAACAATCTCTTTTTGTGCTCTATACGAGGCTTGAACTCGGCCTATAAAGCCACGAGCCCAAAACCCGGAGCTCTGCGGTCAGGGCACATCGGCCTGACGCAGCTCGCGGAGCGCCTGGGAAACGTCGCCTAGCAAGCGTCCGGCACATGGGTTCTCCGACGCGGAGCTGGCTATGTGGCCCGCAGGGCGAATAAGGCTCGCTTGGATTGTCATCGTGGCCACTACAGCTTCGCAGCGAGAAATAGTAAAATCTCGCCCTTTTTGTTTTGTTTTTGTATCTCTCTCGCTCTCTCTCTCTCCGTCTCCCTCTGATGCGCCCTCAGGAATCGAGGCCCGGAGTCCCCTCAGGTGGCAAAGCTACAGCTCCTTGCCTCCGCCATCTGCCAACCGATTCCTTTGCTGCTTCTCATTTTGCTTGGGGGGGAAGTGCTTTTGCTTAGGGTGTAAACGGCTTCTGAGTTTAGGGTCCCGGCTCTCCAACCAACTGCAAAGCTTCAATAACGAAAGGAGAAGGCCACACGTACTAAGGGGCCGAGCGAGTCCGGTTCCGCATATCCAAGCCTCGGCCTCAGGCCGAGCCAAGAGTCACCCCCATGAAAAAATCCCCGAAGCCCTTAAGAAAGAGGGAAACCAACTTGAAGTCAGGACTCAGAAGTGCTGTCAACTCCTTCGGGTTTTCCGCCCAGCGGGTTGCGAACTTCCTGGGTTCGCGGAGCAGCTGGGCGGCACCTCCGAGGTCTCATGGACAAGGATACTCTGGTTGTTCTCTGTCGCTTTGTTTCTGTGCCCTGGAGTGCGTTTTAACCGCTTAGCCTGTGGAACATGAGAGTTTGGAAGAGCCTTTTCGGCTGGAGCGGCTCTTTTTCGAAAGTCAGGGCTTCTTCTCACACCTCTCGCAGAAGCCGCAGCCTGAAGCAAACCCTCAGGCTCTGACCTTCATTCAATCCCTATAATTATGGGCCTCTGCACCCACGTGACTCGCAGTAGGCTAAGGGCCACTGGCATATGCCGGATGCATATGAACAGATATGTCAGAAGGACTAAATAAACCATAAAGGTTTGGGTTGAGGGCTTGGTGTTAAAGCAAGCGAAAGCTTCTGTGCGGATTTTGCGACACCATGAAAGGCACATCGTGCACAGAGGCACGCAGAAGAATAGTGCTAGCTGTGTGGGTCTCGGCAAGCGGCCCAGTCAACACCACACTTTCCGGGTCATGACAGAAAGGGAAGCAGACCACTGAGAATCACTGTCAGTATCTTTGCACTACACCTGCTGGGAACACAAACTACCGGCATCCTGTCATAGTCATGACATCATGGCAATAGGGAGTTATGATTACTCTAAATCAGCAGAAGAAACCACCCAAACCTACAACCCCAACCATGAACTGTAACTCCTTGGCGCTTTGACCTGTAAATCCCGAAAGCCTGAATCTATATAAGAAACCCTGGATCTCAACCCTAAGCCCATACAGTACCACTTACAATACAGTAACCTCACAGTCACCGTTGTACCCGGTATAGCAACCCTAGCCCTAAACCTTTAACCTTCTGACTAGCCGGCACCTTCCATCTAGACGGGCTCGATGAGACTTGGAAGCCATGGTGTGGGCTCTGGCGTCCACCGACGTGCTCTGCGCTTTTGAAGTTCGAGGTTTGAAGGTTTGAGGGGTTTAGGGCTTCGGGGCTGAAGGTGTGGGGTTGCTGTCCGGATGTGTTTTCGAAATGTTTCGGATTTTTGCAGACATTTGTGAAAGGCGTGTCCGGTCTGCTTTCAATCTTTGAAAACATCGTGGCATCGGGGTCAAACGGTGTCGCAGGGCTACCGGTACTGGCCAAGTACTTTCTTTCTAATGCAGGTAGTGTCGGCATTGTGACTGACTATCAAGCACATCAGTACTCACAGTATTCGCCATGTCAGTGGCCGTTGTTTCTACACCCGCTGGCTCACTTCGAAGGGCGAAAGCAACGCGGACAGACATCGACCGGTGGCTCACTCTTGCTCTCTTTGACGATTGGCCCAGTCTCACAAAGACCCTTCATTCCTGGGGTGAGCCTAGCTGTAGCCTATACCCGCAACTGGACGGTTCAAAGGTTTGTTCGAAAGCACATCGTGTGGCTATCATCGGGGCCTTCTCTGGATTTCGGCATGGGGTTTGTAGGTCTTTTTCCCTCCAAGGCTTAGGGCAAAACCCTCAACCCTGAACGTCGGACAAGTTGCGCACATGGTTGCCCTCCAAAAGGAGGCTGCCGAAGGCTAATGCCTCAGCCGTGGCCCAATCGATTGTCTCGCCTCCTTCCAAGTCCTCCAGGCACATCGTCAGGTTGTCGACTCTCCAAGCGCGCACTGTTAGTCTTTAGGGTTTTGGAGTCCCTTTGTTCAGACATGTGCAGAGTAGTCTAGATCGAGCTTCCCATTCAGTGTGGTAAGCCCAATGCTCGAAGATCTACCAACCACTGGAGTGGGGAATCCAGAATTGGCTTGACAAAACCAAGATTTTTCTGTAGGCAGAAATGCCACCCGCAGAGTGCAGTCCTCCATCTTCTTCTTCAACTGACGCTTGAGGCCATTGTGAACCTCCGAATTTTGGGGGCTTTGGGGCTCGAATAGATGTAATTCAGAAGAAATCAGCGTTGAACAGCCAGGCTTTGACTGTACTGTAAACAGTTCAATACGTAGTTGCTCACCACTTGGATGCTAGAGAATTTTGTTCCGGTTCGCAGCTCCTTCGAACATCCCAGGTACAGAGCTCCCCTCTCAGATGCTTGCCTTAAGACTAATGACTGATTTCGCAATGAAGCGACCACGACACTGTGCTAGCCAGCATGGAAGACACACAATCAAATGCGCAGTATGTGCAAACCAGCACGCCTGCATGCATGCTCACCTAATCCTAAAAGCCGACACACGCACGCCAAATGCAAATACACGCTTTTCTAACCATTCTCACCGTCCATGCGAGCACCCACAAGCACAGCCGCATGCGTGCGTGCGTGCGTGCGTGCGTGCGTGCGTGCGTGCGTGCGTGCGTGCGTGCATGTGTGTGTGTGTGAGCCACTGTGTGTGTCTGCTCTATTCTGCCTCTGTGCATGTTCTAGATTCTAGATACATGCAGAAGCAGCACTTGTTGGATAGAAAGCATACGAATAAGTTTCCATACATGCGCTCCATCACATTCTCAGTACCTGCGATTCTGCTGTAAGCTAGCTCCAGATAGAGAGGTGATTGCGCCTTGAAGCCATCTGGAGTGTAGCCTGAGCACAGGGCATGTCACCCACCGACAAATATGGCAGGGAAGCTTTTGCTTGACAGCTCTCCGGGTTAACTTGCATCCAAGAGCTCGGGGAGCATGGACCTCCGTCATTCCTTGGCCTATGCTGACGGAAGCGATGCTGCGGCGTTTGGCTGCGTGAGTTGTTCATGTTGCCGGTGATGCGGATGATGCTAACGACGATGCATACGGTGGCTGTATCGGATCGACCCAGAACACGGAGGGTATCAGTTGAAGCTGCCTGCTGCCACCCTTAATCGCCTTAATCCCTGCATCCCCTAACATTGTCAAACCCACATGCTATTGTCTTGCCCCGGAAAACCCCGTGCCACTAACAACAGACCTATTGATGGCTTCTGGTTCGAACCCTTGGCTTGGATTCAAACCGCGGGCAAGTTGCAAAGCCTCTCTCCAATTTTCCTCAGCAGCTCAACGTCCACCCCGGTCGGATGAGAGTTGGACATGTCCTAAGTGCTCGAAGGGGCTTCGTTTTGGCCCAACAGTCCGTTCGGTAGGCTTGTGTCTACCACGAAGGTGTTCAACTCCAGTGCTCTACATCCCCTTCGTCAGCCCTGAGCAAGAAGCTTCACGATGCCAAGGAAAACACAAGCAAGGTCGGGGTCATGGAATCTTGTCGAGGGCAGATTGCGTGTACACTACGGTGAAGGGCTTTGGGTGTTGGGGGTCAACTTGTTGGCAACACTTTCGCGTCGAGATGCTTGATGCGCAGTGCAGTGACTGTTCAAGTTCTTGAACTCTGCTAGGACGGCCCCAAACATGAGGCAATCAGGTCTTTGCAAGCTGTATGTTCCTACACGCAACAGAGAGAGATGTGTATTTATATACACGTAGATATGCATATCTATATGTCAATACTTATATGTACATACATGCACATACTGCATGCTTTCTATAAGTTATTTGCAATCTTGCACGATATTACTGTATGACTCTGTGAATATATAGCTGGTTGCCAATGCCACTCGATTGGGCTGTCATACACGTTCCCTGGAAAGGCCGGGAGGCGCAGGCTGTATCCCAAACGGACTCCAAAGCCCAAAGAGTGAAGCTGGGGCAAGGCTGCGAAGCAAAAAGCTCCCAGCCCCAGGACAAGACACAACACCCCTTTTAACCCTGAAAGCATCTTAAGCCAAACACGTCCCAAAGAAAGCAGGCTGCAGTGGGACGGACGAAGCCCTCCCACTTGGTGGCAACCTCAAGACCAACTCTCATGGAGGTCTTTCGTTTTGAGCTTTGCTTGCCTGAAACCCCTGAAACCTGCCTTCAGGCAGCTTTTCTTGGGGGGGGGGGGTTGGCATCTGGGGCTTGATGAAAACCAAAACGGATAAACATATTCGGCGTTTGCCACCAACTGCCTCAAGCTTCATTCTGCTAGATCCGAAAGCACAAACCTCTGAAGCCCAACGACTTTAGAAGCCCCAAAGACTAAACAAGTTAAGCAGGGGCCCGGAAGACCGCAGAAATATAAAGACCTCACAACAAGGGTGATGTGGCCCTGTATGCTTACATGGTGTCTTGGATCCCTAAGGACCCTTTCTTGAACCCTGAACCTTCTAAAGCTTATACAGTAGAAGCTCCCGTCGCAGGAGCCGTTGTTCCTAAGCGATTGTAGATTTCGCAGCTCAGGGTTTGGAGAATTTGCGGCCTTTTCTCATCCGCCCCCAAAAAAATCGGACCTCCGCCTGATTGCGATGGTGATTATAAGATGTTGCCGGTCAGAAGAGATAATAGCGATATGTAATCGTGATATGGTGATGTGTACGTTACTTTCCCTAGTGGACCATTGAGGAGAACTCTGCTACGCATCAAGCACACACGCACGCAAATCCCTCCGTGATCGTTGCCGAATATCTACGAACCTAGACACACCAAATCGGAGATGCAAAGCATGGAGTCTCACTGTAAACAGTAATGACTTGAACCGTAAAGATCTGGCAGGGCACCTGACGATTCAAAATTGGTTTTTCTGGGCTTTTACTAAAGGCCTGAAGGATTCTTGGCCTACGCCCGAACCGAGAACCAAGACTACGCGACACCACGTCGGTACGTAAACCTCCAAACCTCTCAGCCAAAAGCCGCCACCTGTCCTTGGCCAATGAGCCCCTCTGTTGACACCGTGCTCAGTCGATCTCCAGCCGTTGTTTTAGGAACCACTTCCCTCAATAAGGCGTGCAAGTGACGGGTTTGCGGATCAGAGATAACCCTGAAGCCTAAACCCTCAACAATACAAGTTCTTCAAACCGCTGGGGCATCAGGCCCATTCGGCTTCCTCACTGGGCTTGAAGCTGTCAGCTTCCTCCAGAAGTAGGTTTTGTGTTGTGGGGTTCGAGCGGATCCCTAATTGCGGATTACTCGGGGATTCAGTGGCTTCAGGATGTCGACACCATAATGCCTCGCTTCGCAGAAATCTGCTCTAATTACACGGGGTTCGTCAAAGGCTGGGCCACGTCAATGCAATCGCGAACTTCAGGACTTTCCCGGATAACACTTACAACTTAATATATTTATGTCTCCCAAGGATTCCCCAAGGTCGCAGAGCTAGGCAGCTAGGCACAGTCTTTCTCATGGACCCCCCTGCTGGACCCGCCTGCCTTTATAGGAAGCTGAACAACTATCCTCTGAATGGGGGCCCTGAACATGGTAGGATACTCTACGTGCCACAGAAGTCATGCTCAGGAACAGCACGTTCCACGTTCTTCCGCGCAGCGCAAACTTTGGTGCCGTCGAACATGCACTCGGAGGATGCGGTAAGATGTGGAAACAGAATCTTAAACCCCCGATTGCAATCTGCAAACATCTCAATAATAACAACCCTCGCACATCTCTTGCGCCTTGAAGGCGGCTTCGTGCTCTTTCCAGATCGACTGGGTGCGGACTTCTATAGGTGTGTCTACCACATGTCAGTGTAAGAGGGCACGCTTCCAAAGCAAGGTATCCACCGCGTAAAGCCCGCATTCAATCATTCATAATGCTTGGAGCCGTAAAACTTCTTGTAATCAAGCTCCCTTACCACTTATTCCCCACAAGCTTGCAGCACTCTCGTCAGCAGGATCCGCCAAAGAACACACAAAGCCTCGAAGACATTCGACTGGGGCTCTTAGCACTCTGCCTTTTGCAATTGCCTTCGCATGAGTAATGCCTTTGATACGAAATGGCGCCGCATCATCACTTCGATATCGTCCTTGGTATTGATATGACAATTCCCAGGACCTGTTATCATCCTCATGAGCTCAACATCAAGAGAGTCATTAGATAACAAATATTTTGCTCATCTTCACGGGCAACTTCACCATCATCAGAGCGTTCACAGGTGGGTTTCCAAACACGAAGGGACCTGACGCAAGCTTCAGACTCGTAATTGTGCAATCGCAAAGCCGTCAATGTGGCCCAGCCGCCGACTTCATTGCTTCGAGCTCCTGCAAGGTTATGTCCATGCTCTACAGTCATCATATCGGTCACATCCATTCGATCATCCTTTGTCCTTTGCTATGCCCTGCCCTACCTTGCATATGCCATCCTAGCCCAAAGGACATCATCCAGTGGCTTTTTTGCTTCGGGCATCTAGTGACTTGCCATGCACAATGCGCGAGCAATTCTGCCTATCTGACTCCATGAACCACGGTACACGCCCTCGGCCTTGAGTCCTAAATTCCGAGTCCTTGAATTGAAGCTCCTATGCCCTTGCACTGTCTCTGGGCTGGTCCTGTGGAGTAGCGGCGCCGCTGTCTACCAAGCTTTTGGCATACCTATAGACAGCTCATGTGGTCACACAGTGAAGCATGCTGGGATCTATCAGGTGTACATAAGGGCTTACGCGGACACTTTGGTCTCAGGTTAAGAAAGGGATCTCTAGTCAGCATGCCGTGGCCCTTCAAAAACTTACCATGATCTTGCAGCGACCTGTTCCGCTGCAATTAGCGCACGACGAAGGAAGCTTCCGGCAGGCTAATTAATCAAAAGGTTCGGGGCTTTCCACATGCAGGTTTAGACCGCTACCGGAAGCATATGCAGGCATGGAGGCAACTCCCGATAGGCGGCTTGAGGGTTATCACAGAGATGGTGTCCCGAGAAGAATGCCAAGCTACACCGCTTCGGTTCGCGGATGCTTGTTGATCTGCTTGTACAGCACCGGCTGCGTATACCTGAAGACAAGGGAATTGAGCATTTATTTTTATCACAAGCTGCATGTACATACAATGTACATGCGATGGCGCGCATGCGACTCCAAGCCATCAAATGTGGAAGCTACTGCAAGTGCGTGAGGAGTGGCTGGCATTGTCCAGTTGATACTACGTCGAAGCTGTTTCTAGTCAAGCTCATCAGTAGCCAGACACAGTAAATTGTTGAACACCGCATCTGGTGTGGGTGTGGGGGCGCGTGCGTCTGTTGAGTCCAGTGTTAACTTGCTATATTGGTGCTATGTCTGATGGAAACCTGAATTGGCAGCATGAGCCATATCTTTTCAGGTCGGCAGGCTCTGGCGCATCCGTCTCGTTGTGGCCGAAGCGGCGGTAGCAAACCTCGACCCAGATTTCGGCTTCTCGGATGCCACTGGTCATGCCTAGCTTGTACCTTGTGCCTTGCTTTAAACAGAACAGCAAGCTAGTAGACTCACGTGAACCATGTCAGAAGCAATGCAAAGTTGGTACGGTCCGGGTAGAGGCGAGCGACAACATCGACGATGACCTCGGGGGTGCTCAGCATTTTTTGCACTGCAGCAATTCGACAAATTGATCAACTTTGCTGTTCTGATGGCGAAAGAGCCTTGTTCCAAAGTTGCCATGGGTGCTGTTTACATATTACTGCAGCTTCTGCTGCAGTGACGAGATCTGCAGCAACACCGTGCCAGTGCCGCTTCGTCATTATTGCTATTCTTGTAAGTTCGCGGCATCTGTTTGCCAGGTCTGTCTCCACTCGGCGGCGAGCTCGAATGCACCTTTTAGAGCACGGACAATTCGGGGAGATGCTACTCGCTCAAAGAACCCAAAGGGCCAGGGCGCTGGTGACTGCCACAGGGTCATCACCGTTTACCTGCAAAGCAGTAGGCATATCCACCTCTTGGGATCCGGGGAGGCATATAGATGTAGCACAAAGTGAAGGAAACAAAGCAAGATGGATGCCCACCAAGCCACATGCAAGATGGGAAGATTGAAGCTCTTGCCTGAGCTGCACAGCAAAGGCTCTGCCCATCGTCTGCGTCTGCTGCAAAAGTATGGCTCCGAAGACTTCGAAGGCTACCCTCCGTATCGGGGCCATCCTGTGCATGCAAGCCACGATCGTGAAGATCGAGCATGTACGGACACTAGAGGTTCTACTGCTGTCCTCGCATGTTGGGACGAAACCACCGCGACTGTAATGCAGGACTTAGGGCCGGGATGGTTCTCGAATTTGGCTGAAGTGCCAAGGTCAGAGGTGTACAAGGTGGACCGGTCATCCACAGGATCCGTGGTGAAGCCCACCTGGCGGAAGACATCTCAGTGCCTCAATCTGGCCCGAAGCCCCACGACATGGCAAGCCGGTCGCTGAGGGTCTTGGGGTTGGGGGTTTTGGGAAGAATCCGCGACATGCGGTCACGATACCAGGGATACCCCCATGAACTCCCCCTGACGACTCATCAAGGCATGGGCCCAGGATTATTGATGCATTCCGCACCGAAGGCAAGTCGCCACGGCACGGCCATAATACCACAGAGCACTGGCGTTAAGGGTTCATGCATGTTCAGACCCGTTGGCCCCAGGCGCTCGAAAACATATCGAATGCCTTCAGTCCTAAACTTAACTCCTTACCACTATATGCGTGGACAACCTGGTTGTTGATGATCACGTGGATGGTGCCACCCACGTCAAACTCCTGAGCCCGGAGGGTGTTTGAGGAGAATCGGGCTCTGCAGGTTTTGGAGCAGGGAGGTCCCATCCAAAATCCTTATCGATCAAGCATACGGCCCAAATCCTTAAAAGCCACCTGTACAAACCGTACAGCCTAAACCCAGTGCACGTCAGGGTGCGCTCGCAGTTTAAGATCTAGGCTTGGTTTCAGTTAAATTTTGGCTTGATGGGCGTCGTGGTCTGGGATTCTTCTAGGTGTAGACGATTGCAAACTTGAGGCAACCCCCGTGCAACAAAAACACAAACCCTCAACCCTAAACCCTCAAATGCTAAATAAATTCGAACAAACCCAACCGGTTAACCGGTTGCCTTCTCATGTGTTCAGATCTCTAGGGCTCTGGTGTTCTTGCAGTGAAAGGCTTGGGAGGTTCGGGTCTTGGCTGTTAAGGGGGCATCCGCAACCAAACCTCCCAAAGGATTCTATGGTCTGCATAGCTACACAGGACGGTCGGCTGACATCTTCCTACTTATTGCTGCTGTCTCACCCCAAAACCCCCTCTCCTGCACGTGGGCCAGCTGCATGGTCTCATAGACGACGCCCTGACCGGCGAAGGACGCATCCTTGGTGGAGAAAGTGGGCCCAGGTTTCCGACTCACACACTCGCACCAGGAAGGCATGACCTCACGTCGTCCGAGCTTGCTAGCGCTTCTATAGGTTCTGGTCATAGTGCTCGAGGGAAGTGTTCAAGGACTTAGTGATTAAATCGGGTTTGGGGTGCATCGAGCGTGCGGTTTCCGGGGTCTGCAAGAGTCTGCAATGCCATACGATTGCCGAAACGGCATGAGTTTCTTTCTTCGGGACCCTAAGCAAAGCGCAAATTTCAACACATTAAAAAACGAAAACAGCAACATGGAACGTGCGCGGCGGTTTTGCACAACAACGGCAGCCTGCATGCAAGTCGAGCAATGCCTCCTCATGTATATCGTTTCATGTGGGCATACGGACGCAAGAAGCCACGCATGTCCCCTTGACTCAACCCTCAACCCGTCGAAACCCTGAAGCCTCAACCTGGATTCAACTCGACCCAAAGCCCCTCTTCCCTCCCCCTCAATTCAGAACCGCAGTCCCAAGCCATAGCCGAGCATCGCCATGGAAGAGGATGGGAAGAACTCGAGTTCGTGACTCCTCCGTGTTGCCTAAGTAGTACCTGCCCCCAAGGGATCTTCAAGGTTGAAAGATGTGAGCTTAGGCTTAAGGCTTCTGGATTCAGGGGTTTGCAGGGGTTGCAGGATTTGCGCACCCTTCGTCCAAGAGGCCTTGCATTGCATCCTCTGCCTCACCTTTTTGGCAAATCTCGCTCGTGTGCTGAGATCACTAATCACTTCTTGTGCCGGAAAAAGGACGAACGAGCAACATAAACCGAATTCGCGAAACAACGACCATAAATCACGACAGGAACTAGAGTGACACTCACCGCAACCAATAGTCAGCCGTATTCTGCAACCAGAGCAATACTACACCCACAGCGATCGATGCCGCCCTGCTCTCAGCCGCGTGCTGCTTTGCCCGAGCACGGCCGAGCGTGACTGTGTTCACCTGGTTGATGCAGGCTGGGGAAAGCGGGGCGGCTTTCGGATTGATGAGTTGAATCGCTCAATGTTCCGGGCTTTAATTAGTCTGCGGATGTCTGGGGATTTCAACTTATAGCATGTGCTGACGAACGAGTTTATTCGATGTATGCCTGGACTCCAGTCTCTGATAAAGATTACCAAAATCTGCGGCCAGTTAATCAAGCTTAAAGCCAGAGTACTTGAATTACATCCAGACCTTTCTGTGCCAGGTCTTTCAACTCTCTGCAAAGTCGGTCTGTGCCTTTGAAGGTGCGACAGAACCCAGACCGAAGGTCCAGGAAAAGTTCTGAAGATCATGTGACGGCTGAAGTTACGCACACTTTTACAAGCTACATACAGGGTTTATGTGCACGCGAGCCTCAAAGGATTATAGGGTTTCAACTACCTTACAATACCGACGATGTGAACTGACGCCCTGATCTCCAAACACTGAGCCCCGCGCGGTCTCCAAGTGGGAGGGGTTTGCCTGAAGGAACAGACACACACACACACACACGCACTCTCTCTCTCTACATGTATATATATATATGTATAAATATGTACAGCACATAAAATACATCCTTTACAACTAAGTGTTTTATAGATATGCTTGTGATGGGAACAAAATGACGAAAAAAAAGTAACAAGACCAATATGGGACAATCCTGAAGTTTGATGTAATACACCGAGTTGAGACATGGATGGTGTTCAAAAGCACTTAAAAGCAAATGCGCCGGGTGAGTGTTTGCAGATTGCGCTGCCGATGCTTATACCCCAGAGAGTTGCAATGATAGCACTACAGCCACGGCTAACATGTGAAATGGAAACTTCTGAATTAGTGTCGTGCTAGCAGCACTACCACTGCAGTGGCATGATCAACTAGGCACCATCATCACGCTGTCTGAACCATCGTCACGTCCAGCTCCGCAGGTCTGTTTCCGTCCAATCTTCGGGCTTTGAGGGCTTGAAGCCTTAGGGTTTAGGGAATGGTTTGGCTTAGGGTTGGGGTTAAGGTTTACTTGGAGGTTCATGGGTAGTTATAAGTGGGGTTATAAGTCCCCTAATATGGGTTATAAAATATAAGTATAGTTACCCTACTTATAACCCCATGTATAACTACCCATGAACCTCCAAGTAAGGATTTAGGGAGTGGCTTAGAGTTTGCAGTATCCCTCGAATCTTAGAACCTGTGGGGCGAGAGATGGTGAGAGGTTGGACTTTTCCTGGGCCAGAGCGCCTCTGGAAGCCGACCCTAAGCCCCCATTTCTGACTTCCGCGTAGCCGAGGCTAATTCGCAGACTCGTAATGTCCGATGAGTTTAGTACATCCTAAACTATCCCAAATGGAACATGATACCATAAACATATATCTACTATTTGCTTAGGGCACTCGATACACACGGCATGCCCTACTTGCTTAATCTTCTGCCTTTGCTTGCACCTGCTTGGTTCAGGGGCCAAGCTCGTTCAGGGGTAGCTGCTTGACGTCAAACATCGGCTGCTGGTCAGAGCTGGGTGTCGTGCAGTGGCGCCGGTGGCTGTGGTTTAGGGTTTAGGATTTAGGATTTAGGGTTTCGGGTTTAGGGTGCAATGATAGCTATCCAGCTCGCATTTTGGAGCTTTCCAGGTACCTCTACGTGAAGAGACCCGTGAAACTGGATCCAGGCCCACAAACGGATTCGACACAAGCCAAAGTAACAAGCTCCCTGAACCCCAAACCCTAAAATCCTAAACCCTAAAAGCCCTATACAAGCCCTAAAACCCTAAACCCTATAATCCTATAAGCCCCAAAACCCTATAAGCCCTAAAACCCTAAACCCTAAAAGCCGACCCGCAGACCGGATCCCCAGTGCCTCGAGGGTGGCCGTGATCGTCTTGCCCCCTTCGAAGCTGAAGACCTAGCGGAAGTTCAAAAAGCATCTTGCGTGTAGGCGGTTACGTTATAAATTGTAGGACGCAGTTCTGAAAAAGATTTCATTTGTGTTGTGTGTAGGCGGGTACTTTAGAAGCAATTCTGAGAACTGGGCCGGAGACTCCGTTCCTTCTATCAAAGTTACCCCATGTCTGAGTCTGAACATGCCTGAACACTGCTGCCGGGCAAAGTCTCGGGGCTTGTAGATTCGTTGCCTTCGGGAGTTCAGGAACTAAGCCTCGCCATAGTAGAACCCGAATCGCTCGATAGAGGGGTCTGAATAAAACACGACAGACATCCCTACCCCTAAAATCCTTAAACCAATAAACCGAGAGCCTGTGAGGTACCAAGGTGGTACTTCACATCGCCCGCGAAGAGCCAGTCGTCCTCATCGCTCCTTAGCGGCTCAATCTCTTGGGCTGGAAATTTAGGCCTTGTGGGGTCATGTTTTTTTTTACCTCCCACTTAGCTTGGACGAGCCCGCATTGCAGGGTAAGTTCGGATAGGTCTGTCTTAGGGCTTCAGGCACGGATCCACGCCAACTCCACTCAGCGTTTGCTAGTCGGATATGTTTTACGCTCTCACAACTCGGACAAGCCAGGCGAGGTTCCAATCCGAGTATGTCTAGGGTGTCAGCACTCACAACTGGGACAAGCCTGGCGAGGTATCGAGNNCGTCCGAAGCACTTTGGCCAGAGCTGACATCTTCACCAACCCAAACAAATTCGAATCAATTCACCCACATCACTTTTCCACACAAGCCTCACCGCATTGTGCCGGGGGCAAATCGAGAGGCACAGCGGAGTTTCTAGGGTCTCCGGGTGGTTTCGGTGGTTTGGGGGTGAGGCTCCCCACCCCCGCATTTNNCCCCCCCCCCCCCCGGCCCCAGCAGCAGAAAAATCGATCCAAAAATTCTCCAAGGATCTTCTCCACAAGCTTCTCGAAGTCGTAATGGGTGCCCTGATCACAGGGGGGTTGGAACCCAAGGTCTTACGCTTAATGCTTGCGACCTGGTGATGGAGAAGACCTATCGCACAATGGTCTGAGATATGATAAACCGCGGCTTTAGTGATGCCTCGGCGTGACTGGCTGGTGATAGAGCTACGACGAGACGGCCTCTTGTTGCATTATCATTATCCTTCTTGGTCCACTCTTTACAATCCTAGCTCCTAATGGGTCCTGCAAAACACAGCCAGGAGCAAGGTCGAGTAAGACCCGAAAGGACCAGAGCAAGACAGAACGAGCAAGAGCGAGGCAATTTATATACAAGTGCATGAGTCAAACCTGGCAACTCGGCTGCAATACAGCCCTGATCATGCGGATGTGAACAGAACGAGCGAGACGCGTGGGATGACCCCCGAGGGCTCTGCCTTGAACTCTGCGAACATCTGCNNNTCCGCACCACGTTGGTGAGGACCTTCAGTCTGGCTGACGCTGCTCTGAGCATTCGGGGCTTGACGCCTTCCTTTTTGAGTCTCTGTTCCCTGTGGCCTCAGAAGCCTTGGCGCACAAAGCCTGGTGACATGAAGATCGAATGGCTGCGAAAGACGAGGGCCTGTGCTTTAAGTAACTACCTCTCTGAAGTCTCGGGGCGAGGCTGTGTAGGACGTTTAAACATACCTGCTCTGGCACAGCTCTAGGCATAAGAACTCTCAACCCCAAGGCCAAGAGACATGCAAGGACCCCCACTAGTCCAAGATGCATTCAGCCGGCCA